TGCATTCTAAATATTTAACCAAATTTTTGGGAACGGTGTGTAAAAAGAGTTTTAGTTTTAGAAAACTTTGCGGCTTAATCTACTTTTTATTAGTATTAATTTTTTTTTTTTTTTTGAGAAACCGTAATTGTCGAGAAATCCTGTCGAAATTAACCCTCCTGTAAATAACACCTAACATAAGGAATAAATCACATTGAAACAAGAAACTTGTGGTTATTAAAATTTTTAATTATTAATTAGCAGATAATTACGAAACATTAAACTTAGAATCAATCATTTTTTCATTAAGTTTGGAAATGAGTAAAAAATGTTGTTGTCAGGTTTTATTTATGTAAATGTAATGTACAACCAACATCGTCACCGTTTCATATCTTGTTAAAGGGGTACATTTTTTTAACTAAATATAAAAACCTCCCTTGATAAAACTTCACAACAAGAATCGAAACGTTGGTGTTGGCTGTGATTCTTTACTCAAACTTACGTATTAAGATTAAGGATAACTTCTGCATACATTAGAGGCTGTCGGTGTTATTATTCTTTAGATAGAATAGAGAACAGAAAATCTCTTTTAGAATTAAAATTTCAATCTGTCAGAATTTTTATGAAGGAACAACAATAACTAAGGCCACACAGCTATTGAAAATTTTGTAATCATCGACGTGTCAAAAAAGTTAACGTAAATTTGGTATGACAGTAATAAACTCATAACTGAAATTCTATCGGGATGTGTGGATATTTTCCAACAAAAAATAGAAAGTAGTTATTAACATGTGAAGTGGGATCATTAATTCATCTGATATAACATTTCTAAAAAGCTCCTTTTCTCTTTTACTTCTGCTCCGGTAATGCTATTTTTGATATTTTTAATTTTCACATTTAAAATTACCTACATCTCAATTGACTGGGATGCATGGTTAAAGTGGTTGATCATTGAAACTACGATAATAGAACATTTGGCTAATCATCATCATTATCATAAGATCGTCAGTCCTAAGACTGATTGGACACGCACCTTCACTCTTTCCTAGCCTAAGCTAATCTTCGTATTTCCTTTAAACTAGAACATCTCTCATCCTTGACTATTTGTGAACAGTAATCTAATCTAGGTGTACCTCTACTCCTCTTAACTCCCGTTTCTGCTTCTAATATGTCTCTGACTGGCCTTTCTCATGCCTGAGAAAGTGTCTTCTATAATCATTTGTTCTATTCTTTATGATACCCTTTCATATGTATCCTTGTCTATCCACAATATCATCATCATTCGTCTGTAACCACATTTCGAACGTTTCTAACTTTTTCTTTTGCATTGGGCCATCATTAATGTTTCGCACCCGTACAGCGCCGCGCTCCAGACATACACCTGTAACAACTTTTTTCGAATTTCTAAATTAACTGTTCGTAAGCATATAAGTAACTACTGTTTGCTGAAGATGACCCGACTTTCCTCTGTTTTATAATAAAAAATATATAAAATGTTTCAAAAGTATATTTTTTTATTTGAAATGTCCTAAAAGAAAAAAAGTACGTATTCCTTGTCAAAGGATAAAACAAAAGCTTCGGGGGAGATTATGACATAACTACGCAGTTACACCCTAATTATTTATTTAAATATATTTCTATTCGTTTCCGTTGGTTCACAAATGTAGTAAGGATCTATTCCAGGCTAGGATTAATCGCTAATAAGAAACTTTTTTGTGAATATTTCTTGGTAGTACCTAGCAATCGAGTGCATTTGGATTGTTCCCAAATGGTTCTTTGGCGGGGTACCAGGGGGTACCGCCCAACACTCCAACAACCGGCCTGTTCATTCTGATCCAACTTTGAATATATCAGTTGACGGAACATTGTTGAAACAGTTGGTTGGAAGCGGGAAACCAACTCGACCGCGTATGTTTGTTTACATTCGCGATCATTTCGAATTTGTTCGCGCAATTCATGATTTTAAAAGTTTGTTCGGGGACGGCCCTTACTGTGAGGTGCAGGATGGAGAACAGGTGAAGGGATTAAACCCTTACTTAAAAATGAGCGGGAAGTTGCGGAGACTTTTACAGACGTTTTTTGTCGCTTTTCTAGCCGTTTACACCACGCTCCTTGCATACCAAACATTATCCCGCGCAGGACCTTTTAACAATGTGGTAAGAAAATACACGTAGTGTTGTATTCTTTTCTTTTTCGGTTGCAAAGCTTTCGTCCTACATTCAAATATTGTTTGGGTCAAAAATTAATCACCGAAAACATCTGGCGGAGTTTTTAAATAGGCGTAAAACGCCAGACATCAGACAAAATATGCTTTAAGGATTATATTATCAAGTAATTTTATATAGCAATGAAATATATGTATTCTCTATAATGGTACAAATAAAATAAATACAAGATATAACTTCAGTATTTATCTATATTTACTAAAACTAGATTTGGTTTTCTATAAATAGAACTATAGGGGAAGTACCTGCAGGTTTGTTACTAAACCGAGTGTGTTTTGTTTTTCGCTTTTTGTTTTATATATTTTCAAGTTAAATTACTTTTACAACTTTCAATCAACCATTACTTTTAGGAAATTGTTTTCTTTTCTTGTATCAGTTCGTTTAAAAGGCATTATTTTCTTTTATTAAAAGCACAACATGAAAGAAGTGTTTTATTAGTTCACAAAACTTTCGAAGTATGAGTTAATTTATATTTCACAGATAGACAAATAACACTTTTCTTTTGTGACGAGGATTAAACAATTTAGTTTCCCTGAAAGTTTTATTTCACTTAACAGAATTCCGTTGAGAAAAGAAGTATGTACGTGTCAAGATGAACAGAAGTTCTTGGCCAGCGATCAGTCGAAACTGTCAGACATTGATGGTGATTTCGATCTCTTTGGATCTCATCAGCACGCACGTCGTAGACAATTCCGACAGAGCGCTGGTCAATTTACTTGCTGCTTTTGAACGGTGTGATAAAGAAACTAACGTACATTCTTGTTTATTTAAATGTGAAATATTTGCATAAATTCAAAATCTACTAAATTATAGTATTGTAGATGCTTGTACTTTTTACAAAGACAAAAGATGCTACTAGTGAGCATATTACATGTGCATTTTGTTATTCCCCATTTCACAATCAGTTATCAGTATCTAAACATAGACAAACGTTATTACCTAATATTGGCTAATGGTAGTAAACTTTTTGGTTACAGATATCGGAAAGTTCCAAATTGTCTAATGTTGATTACCGTTATCTCTCGGAGGATCAAGTCGGATCAGTCGTTACAGTTTCAGAACGAAAGCTATTTACTACTAATATGGTAACTTCTGCAACTGCTACAATCAGACCACCGACCACAACATTAGACGACGTCTTCATAAGCGTCAAGACGACAAAGTATTATCATAAAAGCCGACTTAATCTTATTCTGAAAACGTGGTTTCAATTGGCGAAAAAGCAGGCAAGTTTTATTTTGTGTATTGAATTAATTAGGCGATATGTACGTAACTATTCGGTCAAGCATAGGCACTAAATGATTTAACAATCCAACCGATTCAACGCGCGTCGTTTGCGCGGTGCAACGGTTACATTTTAAGTACAAAACTGATCACTTATTACTATAGGTACACCCATTTTCTGTTTCAAAACTGTACTGTTCGATCTTGTAATTAATATCAGCAAAGCTTAGTTTTCTTCGTATTATTTATCGTGTTATATCCTGAACTTTTTCAAAATCGAACTTTTATCATCATCTCTCAACCATTTTGGTTTTAACACTTCAATAAAGGAATGCAAATCTATTACCTATAGCTAATACTTTATGCTTTTATTTTTTATGCTTTTATTAAATGTTTTTCGTAATATGTATCTAAATAAGTTCGTTATAGAGAGCTTGCATTGATTTTAACGACGCCAACTTGGCAAATACTGAACTATTGTGTTAGCGCATCAGCAAAAAACAAATTGCTGCGTACGTTTGCAGAAATCGGTGTTAGAAGTCTGATAATAAAAGTCAATTAAATCAGCGAAAGCGTTATCAGGTTACTGCTGCTGTCATATCATATATTTACGTGGTTAGTTAGGTTCTAATTATGTATATGGGTTTTAAAAAACTAATTATTTGCTACTTTCGTTTCCCAAAACCACAAACAAGCCGGAAAACTTCAGAGGAATAAAAATTAAGTAACACAATTTTAACATGCTTTCACTTTTATAATAAATTATATTTAANGAAATCTTGTATCATAATCAGATATTTTATTATAATAATTACTACTTTAAAGCTAAAAAGGCGCTTTATGTAATAGCTAGCAGTCGAATCTAAATCCGCCACTAGCAAGAATTAATACCTACACGAAAAATGTAATTAAGCAATTTATGAAAGACTGTTTCAAGGAATATTGAGATCTAAAGCTGCAGTAGAATCTTCCAATCAAATAAACGAACATCAATTTCTATGATAAATAACGGCTAAAAATGTAAATCTTTTATTTAACCGTTATTATTTTGTATTCAATTGTACTTCCAATATTTAGCTTAACATTTATACCTATAATGCTTCTGGTTTTCTCGGAAATGAGAGATAACTATTCGCGAATAAATATTTATTTATTTTACTTTTTTAAATACACGAAAAATGTATGTTATATCTAGGTACATTGAAACCGTCAAAAAAGCTTTGCCTGGAACTCTTGGACATTTTTGTGCAATTTGCTGTAACTTCGTATAGAGACCGTAAACTTTTACAATGTAAAGGGCGATCTTAACCCACCAGAAGTATTCCATTTATACATTTAACTCATTTTGAATTTTTAAGTTTTTATTATATTATAAAAGGTTTAGTGAAGGAAAAGTTTTCCACGTTCTTTTTTACGAGAAAAACATGATAATTTTCATTGAAGCTTTTCAAAGACTAGAGAAACTCGCTGAAATTCAATAAAACTTTAATTAAAAAATAAGTTTCGTACAACTAACCGAGCATCACATCAACAAACTTGATGTGTCTTTCGTGTACTAAACAGATTTTCGAAATATTTCGCATAATCTTGATGTTCGGTTTGAATAATACACCTGTTCGAGACTTGTTCGCTCTTCCTTTTAAAATCCTTCAAATTTTAAAAATAAAGCATGCCAAGCAGGTAGGCAGACGCCGACTTGTGCGCCCAGTCCGTGCAAGAAGCGTGCCTTGCATACTGTTTCTTTCTTTAGGCGTCCGCAATGGACCGTACCATGAAAATGCACCAGCGATTCGAAAACAAATTTTTATTACAATAATTTAAACTATTTTAGGTATATACGAAGTTAGATAAGTCAGGATGCAAGGAGTAGTAGTAATAAAAAGAAGTCACTCCTATGTTCGCGAACGGTTAATTTAGAAATTTGAAAAAGGTTGTTAAAGGTGTCTGTTTGGAGCTTCTGACGCTGTACGGGTGCGAAACATGGACTGTAAGCGTGGCGGAAAGAAAGGTTAGAAGCGTTCGAATTGTGGTGTTACCGGTGAATTATGACGATACCGTGGATAGAGAAGGTTAGAAATGAAGAGGTGTTAGAAAGAATAGGAGAACAGAGTATTCTATGGAAGTCAATAAGAAATAGGCGAGATAGGCTGGTAGGACACCTTCTCAGGCATGAAGGTCTAGTCAGAGACATATTAAGAGACAGAAGTGGAAGTTAGGAGGGGTAGTGATAGACCTAAATTAGATTACTGTTCAAATAGTTAATGATGTAGTTTTAGGGAAATGCAAAGATGCGTGTCCAACCAGTCTTAGGACTGACGACCTTATGATGATGATCAATTAACTATTTTTTTCAATAGCCTTGATAAAACCTTTTACGGTTCCGTACCCCAAAATTGAAATACGGAATCCTGTATGGATTCAGTTTATTATCCGTCTATGGACCTACTGACGCAGAATCTTGAAATTAGGAACGAAAGTAGGTCTCTTAGCATGGAAAAACAGTTAATTTTTAATTTTATTTGAAATTAGTTTGTGACGAATTTAATTCCTTTATCTTTGATGCAGAACTGGATATTATCCACTATTTCTTCTACCATCAAAAAAAAAAATGTGGCGTAAAATTATGTAAATAATTAGTAGCTACAAGCAGTTGATTCCTCCCATTGGAAGAGTCCTAATCGCATTTGCCTATAATTGTTTTTCTATTATTAATTGCTTCGACAAAGGATTCATTAATATGAATGATTTTTAGACTTGCATTCTAAATATTTAACCAAATTTTTGGGAACGGTGTGTAAAAAGAGTTTTAGTTTTAGAAAACTTTGCGGCTTAATCTACTTTTTATTAGTATTAATTTTTTTTTTTTTTTTGAGAAACCGTAATTGTCGAGAAATCCTGTCGAAATTAACCCTCCTGTAAATAACACCTAACATAAGGAATAAATCACATTGAAACAAGAAACTTGTGGTTATTAAAATTTTTAATTATTAATTA